TAAATAATGGGGATAAAGGGATGAATTACGCTAGTAAGCGACACTTTCGCGGAATACTGCTCCCACTGGCACATGCTCTTGCATGCGATGCGAGGATCTGTAATCCGCGCCGCATTTTGAGGGCGAGTACATCCCTCCATCTTCAAGTTATTCTCCTTACAGGCGAGGTGTTTTCGGTCGAAGTGGCCTTTTCAAATGGAATTGATACAACTATAAAGAGCATCAAACTCTGATTTCAAATCTGTCTTCGTTATCTGCCGAGCGCCCCTAGACGTCGAGTTATAAGCGTTTTTTGAGTTAAGAAAATTAAATGCATACTTAGGACAATATTCGTCAGAATTCCTCAAATGGTCCAATGTTGATTATCAAAGCATTTTATTCAAACAATATCTTTTATCCAAAGCATTCATACTTAGCATTGCTCTATTTGAGCGCTGAAAAGACAGTAAAATTTTATTTTACTCAGATTATGCGTTCATTTTTCGCATCAAGAAAATATTCATAACTCGACGTCTAGAGGCGCTCGGCAGATAACGAAGACAGATTTGGAATCAGCGTTTGATGCTCTTTATAGTCGTATCAATTTCATTTAAAAAGGCCATTTCGACCGAAACACCTCCCTTGTGGCTAAATCGATGAAATGAAAATGCTTTGAAGTCTATTTTATCTAACACATTCCAAGCTGAAAGAAAACAAATATCAATTTTGTACCATCAAATTAGTGACGTTGACTTTTTAAATCGTGAAATAAGAAGACAGGCTGCGCCATCATGGTAAGACACAAACCTTATTGACGTGAATTATAGTTACACAGGCAATGGTCTCAGCTTTGAAGATAAATTTTCTAGAAAAAAAGAGCGGGCTTGATTTGCAGACAATCAACCACAACGATACATCTCCTTATATAGCATGTCTTCATAACGACAAATCAAACGTTCTTCTAACAAGAAACGGTCAGACTGAATTCCTAGGTTTCACGTAATCCCATTTCTTTTTTACAAACGCATATCCTACGATTTGCAGCTTCATTCAAGCCTGTTATTTAGACCGGCGTCACCACAAAATGGTGACGAATTAATCTCTACTATAAATGGGTCTAATGATTTTAGGGGGGTGGGGTGGGAGGGGGGATTGAACTACTAACGAAAATTAACCGAATCTTATTTTAAATTATACGTAGCATAGTATGATATACATATTGATTTGTGCCGAAAAATGGCTTTTGTATAAAGAATCAAGTTTATTTCTTCTCACGGTGCTGGTTCTTGACTAAAATCATAATGATGCTGCTTCCAGAGTCCGTGACAGCGTCGTTCTAGCGCCGTGCCGGAACGTCGATCGATGAGCACGAGCTTCAAGTGTTTTTGGGCGCTCCGGTACTTGCTGGGATGGCGCTAGCACAGAGGGGCACATGCCCCTTTTGCACACATTCGCATGGATATGATGGATGTTGCGGCTCCGTGAGCTCAGCATTCTTCAGCTTCGCTCGAGTACCATACATGACTAGTCCCAAACCCTGAGATTTCACACGTCCCCGAAAGCATGTACCATTTGGCGCGTCTGCCTGATGCGATCACTCAACACCAACAGCTCATACACAACGCACGTCTGGTTTAAGTAAGTTTATAAAACAATAAGACATAAAATACATAACAAAATCACTAAATTACAAGATTTCCAACCTAAGAAGGGTGACTTTACAATACTACAGGAGGAGCCGCATCATCCCGTGCTGCCGATGCTTTCAAGGCTCAATTCAAATAAAGAAAGTCTGATTTCTTTTGACAGAGTCTGCCGCTAGAAGCACTGGTTCATATGGAACGGCGCGACACCAGCTCCATTGCCCATCCTGGCTATTACCACTCGAACCCTTTCCGCGCTTCTGCGCCGTCTATACACAAGACATCCCAACGCTTAACCGCTCAGCATAATAATCCTCTTATGTGGAGCTGCTGAAAACGAGGCCAAGTATGATAAGAGAGCAATCTTATATATAAAGTAAATGTGTGTATGTATGTCTGTATGTCTGTATGTCTTTATGTACGTATGTGCGAAATAGCAATTTTTATTTCTGAACCGATTTGGACCAAACTTGGCACACATATATTTCAGGGCGGGAGCGTCATATAAAGTACTTTTCGTTATCGATCGATATCAATTTTATCGATTTTTTGCAAAATTTGGCTACGGGGCTGGGAGTTGGTACAGGGGGGTACGAATGTTGATTACAAATATGTTATTGACAAGGTCGGGCGGAGCCGGGTTTGCCAACTAGTAAGTAATAAAATCGAAGTCGTGGAGTGGGGGCTGCTCTCACGCGCAGCCTTATATACTGCGCAACTTGGCATCGTTCCCAGCCGGAGTGGTCCTGCGGCGGCTACAAAAAACGCGACAGGTAAACATGAGGTAAAGAGGAACATGAGGTAACGCGACAGGTAAAGAGCGAGGGGAAAGGAGAACCAGTAACACAGTTCATTTGCACACTAGTACGCCTTGGACTCCTCTCGTAGCAGCACTACTTCCTTCACCCTTTTGTATTTGAACTCTACTTTTGTCAGCATTATTTATTCCTCTTCATTTTTTCTTTTGAAGCCTTCCTGTGAACTACTGATGAGAGGGTTTCTGAACCCGGGGGCGGCAGGAAGGCCACACATCTGGTCTAGTTCAAGCCCCGAAACCAGAGTGTGAAAAAGAACCTTGGATAGCATATTGTTTTTCATACTCATAATGGACTCGCGCTCGCTCTGCATTTTACCAAGTTCTTCAATCATCAATTTATTAACTCTTTACTTCTTATGGCATACAATGCTCCCCGCACCTGTTCCGAAGAGCTGCCATGCATCGCGTAGCCACGACAATGAGAAGCACCTTTTCGCACAATAGGTGACAGTATGGAATCCCCTGGACGGTCGGATGTGCGAATCTGCCTACGACCATCCATGTGATGCGCATCTTGCCATTTCGGAAATTAGTATGCACCAAATATGCTTTTTAAGATTGTAATCTTCCTGGTTTCAAGTAAGCTTGAAGTTTGAAACGTGATTGTATGCACCAAAGTAAACTGGCGTATTTCATTACTGTACAAGGGTTACGATAGGAACTACTCACAAGAAACTGAGTAGCTCCAGTTCTTTTCGTATAACGCGAATTCTATAGCTTGTTGAGTGTTCCCAAAGCACAGGCCTGATTTAAAGTGTTTAGCTGATTGTTTACAATTTCAAGCTCCAATATTATTTTTTTAACAATTTAGAGAGGAAGAATACCTTCAAAACAGCCCCTTGCTATCAGATGTTCACTAAGTCTCAGACATGTCAAAAAAATCTGGAAAGTGGCGAACTCCACCCCTGAGCGACTTCTCCCATTTCTCGGATGTACCACATGCATACGAAATTACACTTTTCATTCTTGTACAAGCAATAGATTCTGAGAGATGCATAATTAGCCGAAAATACTTAAAGGAAGTGGCTCGGCAAATCTCAACTTAGTCAAACTTTCGCTTACCTGGGGTTATTCAATAAGCTGATCACGAAAACCCACTTTAGAGAGCTTGAAAACGGCGAAAACGAGCGTTTTTCGACACCCTTCCCTACAATTGAACGAGTGGAGCAAGGCTCATGGCGCTGAATCGTTGCGGGACCCAATGATTATAGCATTGCGGCGGGCCGCCTCCAATGGTGAGAAGGAAGTTGCCAACCCGTCCGGGTGCGTGTAAGATTGGCTTGCGCGTGTAAATTTGAGAGCGATTTTCTCAACAAGGAAGGCATGCTGTGCGACCGGGATTGCACGGTTTTCATACATGGACGATAAGGAAACTACTGCGCTGAGATCCTGAGTTGTCAAGTTTTGCCGATCCACTGCCTTCAAACCTTTTCGGCCAACTTGACGAAACTTTTGACCAAACAGCTTCCCTCCCTTTCCTCAACTTTTCCTTTATTTGGTCATCCTCCTTGACCGTTTGCAAAAGAATTCAAATATCCAGTTGACAAGAAAGCTCTCGCACATTGAACTCAACGAATACATCATATATGTACACGTTATATAAAATGTGTATAGGCTGCCGTATGACGAAGGCGCAATATCTTTGGGTGCGAACGCGGCTTTATTAGCCGCAGAGCGCATGAGGGGCAGTATTTGCAACGGTGAGGATACGCTCGAGTCGCGTCTGCGCCAACTCAGCTAATATTGTTTCTGCGCCCTCGTCATGCAGCAGCCTTTACATAAAAAACAAGGAAAGAGGTCTGCAAAAGTTTAACTCCGCCCTATTAACCCTGAGCTCCTCCCATTTGCCTAAATTCAAAAATGCAGCACTACAGCTGTAAATTTTTACTCTTCCGCAGGCACAAGATCCTGAGAAATGCAATGTGCGCAAAAATATCTGCAAATTCTACCAGCTGTAGAGTTTTATTCGTTTTGAGCAAGTGGGAGGAGTCTAGTATTATTGAGGGCGAAGTCGAAACTTTTGGTAACCTCTTTTCAGCTTATTGAATTATTATGATTATACAGCTTCTCTGCCCTTCATTTACTTCTCCTCCCCCCCCCCCCCCCCCGTTCTCCTCTAGTGCTTCCAAAAAATCATATGAAATGGCTAAACTCGAAGAAAAATTTCTAAAAGTTCCAATTTTTCAGTTTGCACATCCGCACATTTCCAGGTGATTAGCTGACAGTGGCAGCCAAAAAAATTATTTCGAAAAGAAGAATGGCAAAATCTTGGAAATGGGACGTGAATTGTACAGAAATTCTATGGAAAATATGCTGAGCTATTCTTCTCATTGTCAGATTTTTCGCGAGCTCATAACTCTGTGACTTTGAAAAACAGAAGAAGGCATGAAATCAGTTGCGCTCCGAAAAAAAAAACAAAAAATGATGTTATAGCAGATGTCCCTTGTATAATCTTTGGCTCATGTAGACAAATTGTATCCTTCACTTCTTTCCCTCTCCCCAGCCCCTTCCCGGTGCCCTAACCGCCGTCGAGTTAGGGCGCGTCAAGCGGAAAACGGTGGATGGGCGGGATCGAAGCTAAGCCTTCCAAAAAGGAAGTGGTTCCTAAAGAAAGATGGACGAGCTGGACAACCCAACGAAGCCGTCTTCATAAGCACACCTCATATGATTTTCTAGGCAAGAAACATCAAATCTGTACTCTCTCCCATTACCGTATTTCTTATGAGGTACATCAGTCAGCGTCCTCGAGTAAGGAAGGGTCTTACAACTAAGTCAATTCATAGTTGAAAATGATAGGGTATAAATTATACGGGCTGTTGTGTAAGCATTGGGCTAAGGGAAGAATTCCACTAATAGGCGCCATTTCCGCGGATTATGGACCGTCGTACATGTCGTCGTACGTGCTATTGCATGCAATGTGAGGACCAGTAGTCCGCAATGGCGGACTATAAGAGCATTTTGTTCTCCTAATGTGAGCTCATAGAGTGGGATTGTTCAACAGATTGTTGCTAACATTTTTAACAAATTCATATTCATTTCCCATATACATACAGGGCTGGGGGAAGTCTTTGAATACGGTATTTTTGACTCAATGATATGCTGGGCAAGATGATTACATGAAATCAATAAATAATGTTAATTACTGTCTGTTACACAAAACTGGCTTTACAATTCGAAGATTCCTCTTTTGACGCCAGCACAAGCTCGGAAACGCTTGGGAACGCTGTCCATGGTGGCAGGGAGGTGCTTCACGTCGATTTCTTCCAACGCTTCCCGAAGAGCAAGTCGCAGAAACTACGCTTCTTGCGTGGGTGAGCGCAGACTTTGGCCTAAAGAACTGACCACACACTTGGACAATTCTTCTATGCCGTACAGGTTTTTATTGGTGATACACTTTATTACTGCCTTACGTTTCGGTTAAACACCGTCTTCAGAGGCCTGGAAAGGAGTCAGTCACTCTGATATTACTTTCCTGCCGCCAAAACCTCTTCACACCCGCGTATTCGATTCGTCTCGGGTGGAGATTGAGAGACTGGGCGTGAAAGTCTACCCACCGAGTGTATCACCGTGGCAGCAGCGTATGTGCTTCAAGACGTGCTCGAGTAACTTGTCGAATGAGCAGTTGAATCACTATGAGATCACTACCCACTGCAGTCAGGAGTATTCAAATCCGGCCAATACGGAAGCCATGCAGAAGTATTGAACTCCTTGATGTTGCTTTGGAGACATGTTTGAAGAAACTTTGCTTTGTGAGCAGGTGCGCTATCCTAGGGGACACCAATCGCTCCTGGTAAAATGGGCATTGGTCTAGGTCAACAATCCTTCTTCAGGATGCTATCCACGATGCGGTGTCCACCCGATGTCCTGGGACACAAAAATCGCCAGCATCTTGCTGTCGGAAGCGATCGCCGCAGAAACCATTATAGAAACCGGATGAAGCTTTCTTTCTGCAAGTCAACCCTTGCTATTGACTTCTGGGGGCGGATCAGGTGATGATTCTTGTTTGGCGATCAAAAACTTTCCTCACCGTGAAAATTTTGACGTCAGAAAAGAGTATCGTTCGGTGGCGTACCTTGGAGAGACTCAAGCAGTCAATGGTATAAGCGCAGTCAGTTCAACTTTGTGTCCTCCCAAAAAGCATTAAATTTTAGCATCCTGAAAAACTTCATTGCAAGGACCTCTTCTACGATGTCGAGACTGTCCTGCCAGAGATAGACAGCTCTAAAGCCAGCTCAATCGAGCTTCGCCCAGGATTGCGACGACGAAGGCGTCGGCGAACAATTTTCAGAATTTCGATACTGTCCGCAGTAGCCAATTTACCACTCATACAACAGTCCTGGGTGCTGCATATCTTGGAAACGATGCAAGGTGGAAAAGATCCTGATCTGTAGAATTTGAGGAGCCCGCGCAATTTGCTAGTCAGCAATCCTCTCCTAGTGCATCTTCTCAACCAACGCTCGCTCCAGCCCAGAAGGCATGATAGGAAAAAAGGTAATAGTCCAATTTTTGAGGGCTTGTGCTCAAGAGTGTAAGAAGTAAACATATATTAGGTTGTCCCAAAAGCAAACTTCTTTGAATAACTCAAGCTGTCTTCGTTTTCTTAGTAAATTTAGGGTATCATTCGACAGAGCAGATCAAGCTCTACAAAATGACCGCCAAGGGTCCGCCTAAGTTGCCTTCCATGTTAAGTTTGAAGCCAAAGTCGAAAAAAATCTTGCCACTGAAAATTGGATTTCTGCGACAAAGAATCCTACAGACCTCCAACTTGGTCATTATACAGTAGGCATGTAGTAGTGCACAAATATGCCTTTACCGAATTTTTTCCGAGCATAGGAAGCGAGGAACAAGAATTGTCCAAAAATAGCAAACTCCGCCCTCAGACCCTCTCACATAATGTCATTGTATACTACAAGCCTAACTAAGTATAATTATTAGGGTGATCGGTAAAAAAATGGGGCACTTAGAGAACAACTGTAGATTTCTCAAAAAAGAAAAGTGGTTAAACTTCCCAATTTTGATAGATATTAGAACAGATTATTATCTTTCAGAAAATACCTTTGTAAGATCATTTACCTACGTAATAATTTTTATAGTGGCTGAAATACATAGTTAGTCACTTTGACAAATTATAAACTTTGGGTAGTGTCTGCGCAGTGAAACATGTGAAACCACCCAAAGTACCACTGCTGGAGTAGGTGGTGGGACAGTCACCAAACCCACGACGGCTTGGTGGCCTCAACTTTCAAAGTCAGGAGATATGGCCATTAGCAGCTTCGAGAACAAAGATCGCGTTATTCAATTCTTTGCAGATGAACGCATATTTTCTAGGTACCATCTGATAGAGCTTTTTACGCTCTATCCATTCTTGTGCAGATTACCTCAGATTTTATCTATCTTCGGAAAATATAAGGCAAAACATGATTTTTTGGTTTTTATTGCGCCAAAAAATCGAGATTTTTAAGGTATTTCGCTTTTTTTAATCCAGAAATAAAAAGAAATCCTTATGTTTAGTATATTGTTTGAAAGAGCACGAAGAGCCCTTTCGAATGGTATGTCAGCTGATTTACGACTTTACGGTATGGCAGCGCAAGAATAAGCGATGTTCTAAAAACCCTGTCTGAGTTCTTCATGGCGCCACGCGTACGGTTATGAGAGAGGAGCACTAACGAATTGCCAGAATGATAGGCGAAGGTCGGTTATGTAAGCGACGTTTGAGTTGCAAGCTGTTTGTTGTTGGTAAGAACAAAAAATTCTAAAATATAAAAAAAATCAAGCTGCCCCATTTTTTACCGATCACCCTAATACAAAACCTTACCCCTGCATGTGCTCTTATAATCGAGAAATACCAAGTTTTACATAAAAAACCGAAAAAAGTGGCATTTTGGCATTTCAAGACCCTATTTGTTTTTCAATTTTAAGCCCCAAAAAATCCACCAATTACATTTTTGGGTACTACTACGTGTCTACTATATAAAGACCATGTTGGAAGTCCGTAGGAATTTTCTGGAAAGAGATTCGATCTTTAGGGTAGCTGAAAAATTTTGATTTTTGTCTTCAAAATTTACCTAGTTTATGAGTTAGTTGGAACTTTGGTAGTCTTTTTGTAGAGCTTGCTGCGCTCTACCGAATGGTACCCTAAATCTTTCACAAAAACAAAAACAGCTCAAGTAGTTTGAAAATGGAGTTTACTTTTGGGACAACCTAATATATTAGGTCGTTCCGAAAGTAATGTCGCTTTTTTCAAATAGACGCCACATTTCATGGAATCAAGATTTTCAAGAGATCCTAGAAGTTTCGATGCAGTATTTCATCCTCTTTCTAATCGTTGTAATTTCATTGCATAATTTTCAGTGAGCTTGCGAAAAATTAACAATTCTGCAACTCATGCTTTTTGCCATCGTCAAGTTCGGCAATTTTTTAAAATTTTTGTACCTAAAAACCCTCTCCGAAAAAGTACAGGTGGCAGATAGATAGAGCAAACACCATAGAACATAGAGTAATTTTTTCTTTTCCTTAGCTTGCTTCTCAGAGTTTCTACAATCAATTTCTCAGTGCCATCAAATTCCATATTTAGTCAAGTCAAACCCCACAGAACAATAACCGGCAAGCGACTCGGGTGTCATTCGATGCAGCTTTTTCTCCTCTTTCTAGCGGTTGTTTTTTGTTAACGATTCATCAAGTTTTCCGGGATAAAATCATCATAATTCAGGTTTTCCAGGGCGCCTCCGGCTGTACCCGGAATTTTCGAAAGTTGCTAGTCTGAAGCGGTAAACGCTCATTTGCTTTGTAAAATTAGTGTAAAACCATAATCCATTTTTGTAAGTTTCAAAATCCGACGATTTCTTGGTGTTTGATGCATTTGTGTCTGAGACGAGTCTGCTAAATTTCGGTGTTCCATCAAAAAATCTATACAGAAATTATGACGAGCTCTGAAAAGTAGAAAAAAGTTGTGCTGTTTTCCGTAGGGTTTGCTCTATCCGTACATAAATTGGACTCCTTCCGGTGGTTGTTATAAAAATTTAGAAAAATTGTGAAACTTGGTCTTCTCAAAAAGCACCGGTCGCAGATTTCGATAGATTTTCGAGAGGTACTGAATTTTGTGCAGTGGTTATATAACCATCGGAAAGAGAATGAAATGCTGCATCAAATGCTACCAGAATCTCTCACACGTCTTTGTTCTACGAGATGTGGCGTACGTTTAAAAAAAGCGACATTACTTTCGGAACGACCTTATATAATGGGCTTTTCTCGGCTAAGTATGACGGATCCCAAAATGCAGTAAAATGAAGAGGAATGGTTGAAAATTGCATACGAAGCACATACTGTGGAATGCCGCGCTTGCTGTGCAATGTACGACACTACCCACAGGACGGGAATTTCGCGATATTCCGGAATTTTCGCGAAGTTCCCGGAATATCGCAAATTACGCAGCGCCATAACTTCCTTCGAAATGAATATATTCTATGTCCGAAACAGCGAGGTGTTCAGCTCGTCAAGTCGAATATTTTGACGTGCATCTCGTCCTCTATATCTCGTCTCCAGTTTTCTTAAATTCTTCTGCGAAGGTCCTTTCGCAAGGATGTAACGCAGCGCCTATCCGACATAAAAGATGCCTATAATTACATTTGATAGTGCTGTTTTTGTTAACTACAGTGCGTTAGAAAATAGCCGCAGGCTTTTTTCTAAAAGAGAGAGAAGCGTTGGTGAATTCTGGAAAAGTCATTTCGTTCTAAATTTTTCTCACCGTGACTCTAAAATATGAAACTCTCTTGCTAAGCAGATGTGAAATTCGTAATCAGCAGGCAAGCTTTGAGAGAACTCCAGCTTATTTGTTTTTTCTCGTTTCACGCTCTGAAGCTCAGTGGGTTTTGGTCGAAATGTTGATGATCTTGGTTTGGAAGAAAACTCCGATTATAGAGGTTTTCGGACACGCTCTTTACGAAAATTATAGCCTTTGAGTAATATGGGGTCTCTGCATGGATACGTTGAGGTAACCGTAACTGAGTCGGAACGACCCAATACTTAGCTTACAAAAATTTGTGAAAAAACCGAACATACAAGGACATCAAAAATTGTTCAAGGACTTTCCCCCATCCCTGTACATTACCTAAAAGCTATTCAATTTTGTCGTAATGAGCTTCGGCAAGTTAAGAGGATAAAAAATAAAGGCGGATTCCATTGAAAACTGGAGCTTCAAAGGAAAATCTTCTTCGAAAAGGGAATGCGATGAGCAGGCAATCAATCACAACGATACACATCCTTATATAGTATGCCTTCAAAGCGGCAAATCAAATGTTTGTCCAAAAGCAGCCAGACTAGATTCCTAGTTCCGGAATGATGAATTCAGTCGTTTCCAGAGTCGCCCGCATGACGGCGCTGTGCCGGTGCCGGCGCTATTTCGTGCCAATGCCGTGCCAGGACTCCCTGCACGCACACCCCTATTGATCGATAAGCGGCATCAGCACTGCGCTGTAGCGATCCTGGCCAAGGCTAGATACAGCTGGCACGGGTCAAGTTGGATTTCGTTTTTGGAACAAAAAGCAGAGGAGATATCGTTTTTGTAGACGAAAAGACACAAAAACTGTGACTTTTTTAGTCGACCTTTTGGTTTTTTCAAAGATCTTTTACGTCTAGGGTTTATCATTAAAGGAGACTTCGTAATATTTTGCGAAAGTCAAGAGGAATTTCGTTTCGAAATTCCCTTAGTGAAGCTCATGTCGAGCCCTGATCCTGGCACAAAACTGCCAATCGCACAATTGCGCAAACAAAAAGTTGTGGCGGCTTTTTGGCGATAAAAATCTTGGTGAATAATTATTGCCGGCATTTTGACATTTATGTTTCCTTTTCGCGCAAATTTTTTTCGAAAATAAAATTATCGAAATTCCAACTTTAGTGGTTGTATAACAGATAAAATCTTTCCAAATCGCTTAATGGGTCTTCTTGTGTTGGATTAGACAGATCTGAGCTCTAGCTACGAAACTGCTTTGATGTTCAATTAAGCAGCTGAAGCACATCCAAACACTATATTCAACACAATAGGATCCCTTGGGCGAAGTGAACATAACATTTGCAATCAGAACGTCATGCAACCACTCACGGTGGAATTTCGGCGAACTATGCGACCCTTAGATTTTGGGCGAAGTTCATAAGGACTTGTTTTCGTAGGCTCGTAAGTCCGGGATTTTCACAGACTGGATTCTTAAACATGCACCGTTCGATGGCAAAGTTCCCAGTAAATTTGAGCTACAGAAGCAAGCGGGCAGATTTTCTGACGATACGTGAGAAGTGTGGGCAAAGTTACACAATTTCGTGACTCAGTTACTGTTACCTCAACGTATACTCAAAGGCTACAATTTTCGTAAAGAGCGTGTCCGAAAACCTCTATAATCGGAGTTTTCTTCCAAACCAAGATCATCAACATTTCGACCAAAACCCACTGAGCTTCAGAGCGTGAAACGAGAAAAAACAAATAAGCTGGAGTTCTCTCAAAGCTTGCCTGCTGATTACGAATTTCACATCTGCTTAGCAAGAGAGTTTCATATTTTAGAGTCACGGTGAGAAAAATTTAGAACGAAATGACTTTTCCAGAATTCACCAACGCTTCTCTCTCTTTTAGAAAAAAGCCTGCGGCTATTTTCTAACGCACTGTAGTTAACAAAAACAGCACTATCAAATGTAATTATAGGCATCTTTTATGTCGGATAGGCGCTGCGTTACATCCTTGCGAAAGGACCTTCGCAGAAGAATTTAAGAAAACTGGAGACGAGATATAGAGGACGAGATGCACGTCAAAATATTCGACTTGACGAGCTGAACACCTCGCTGTTTCGGACATAGAATATATTCATTTCGAAGGAAGTTATGGCGCTGCGTAATTTGCGATATTCCGGGAACTTCGCGAAAATTCCGGAATATCGCGAAATTCCCGTCCTGTGGGTAGTGTCGTACATTGCACAGCAAGCGCGGCATTCCACAGTATGTGCTTCGTATGCAATTTTCAACCATTCCTCTTCATTTTACTGCATTTTGGGATCCGTCATACTTAGCCGAGAAAAGCCCATTATATAAGGTCGTTCCGAAAGTAATGTCGCTTTTTTTAAACGTACGCCACATCTCGTAGAACAAAGACGTGTGAGAGATTCTGGTAACATTTGATGAAGCATTTCATTCTTTATCTAATGGTTATATAAGCATTGCATAATAATCAATAAGCCCTTAAAGATTTACCAAAAACTGCGACCCATGCTTTTTGAGAAGGTCAAGTTTCACAATTTTTCCAACATTTTATAACAACCCTCGAAAGGAGTCCAAGTAATGGATGGTTAGAGCGAACCCTACAGGAAACAGCACTACTTTTTTCTATTTTCCAGAGCTCGTCATAATTTTTGTATAGATTTTTTGATGGAACCGCCGAATTTCAACATTCTCGCCTCAGATACAAATGCATCAAACACCAACAAATCTTCGGATTTTAATGCTTTCAAAGATGGATTATGGTTTGACACTAATTTTACAAACCGGCTGAGCTTTCACCGCTTCAGATTAGCAACTTTAGAAAATTTCGGGTACAGCCTAGGGCGACCTGGAAAACCTGCATCATGATGATTTTATCCCAGAAAACTTGATGAATCGTTAACAAAAAACAACCAGTAGAGAGAGGAGAAAAAGCTGCGTCGAATGACACTCGAGTTGCCTGCCGGTTATTGTTCTGTGAGGTTTGAGTTGACCAAATATGACATTTAATGGCATTGAAAAATTGACTCCAGAAACTCTAAGAAGCAAGCTAGAGAAGAAACAATTAATCTGTGTCCTATAGAGTTTGCTCTATCTAACTGCCACTGCTCTTCCTTTGAAAATAGGTACAAAAATTTAGAAAAATAGCCGAACTTGACCAAGGCAAAAAGCATGAGTCGCAGACTTTGGAAAATTTTCGAGAATTCATTAAATATTCTGCAACTAAATTACAACCGTTAGAAAGAGGATGAAATGCTGCATCGAATGCTTCTAAGAACTCTTGAAAATCTTGATTCCTTGAAATGTGACGATCTTTTGGAAAAAGCGACATACTTTCGGAACGACCTAATACATACTCGTGCAGAATGAGCCCTTAAACCATACCTATCGTAATTCTGCAGTGCTCAACAGAATGTGACCTCTGGAATCAGCGCACTGAATATTCCATTTACACTACAATTCCAAGAAAAAAACCTATATCCCACGACTAGGCACATCTATATGCTGGGAGATGCGCCTCGCCGAGTTGAGTTGAATGGTACTCTTAAACATAGAATTCATAGACTTTGAGTCAAGATCTTTTGACGATTTCCGAAAAAGTTAGGCGGCGGCCGCCAATTTTTTGGCCATCGCCGCTGAGTTGAGCGGCAGCCGCCAATTTTTTCACAAATTACGAGCGGTGTTGTATGCTAATATCGCACAATTGCGCAAACAAAATGTTTTGTAGCGCTTTTTTGCGATAAAATTTTTGGTGAATAATTATTGCAGGCATTTTGACATGAAACAGCGCCATACAATGCTCGTTAAGCTTCTTTTTTGCGCAAAACTTTTTCGAAAATAAAAAGGAAAAATAAAATTTTTAACGATTCTACATCAATAAAAGGCACTGCGCATTTCCCACAAGCATCTTACCTTACCAGGTTTTGTCGGTATGCAGCTCTTCTTTTGTTTTTGGGATGCTTTATCTCAGCGGTTTCTTTATTTCAGAAAGTCGCCAAACTTTCGAAATGAAGGTCTTTGTTCTCATCATGCTGGTGGGTATCTTCAAATATAGACGGCCAAAATAATTTTTTCCTGTGGTTTCGACAATACTTGCGCGTGAACAAAATTGTCAAGCATATATTTCAAATTTGCGCTATCATGGTCCAGAAGCCCAAATTTTCTTCGATTGCGCACTATGGTCATTCACCGTTAGCATATCGTCGGCAACCGCTAGAGTACTTTACGGCCTTTCATATCCACAATTTTTCTCTTTAATTTCACTAACTTTACAGATGGTTCTCATGGCCGCTCTGCTGACTGGTAATATCCTGTACTTTTACTTATACATTTGGTAAAGTGTCTACATTAAGACGCAGTAGACGGCAAAGGCCGCGGAGTAAGCCGCGGGGTAAGCCGCGGAGTAAGCCGTGGAGTAACCCGTGGAGCAAGCCGCGGAAAAAGCAGCGGAGGAGTCCCCGGAAAATCCGGGAAAAGGAGCAAACCAAAACGCAGGGGAGGACCCAAACGCTTGTTTGGCTTTGGCCAAGCAGGTAAAGATATCTTTACAGATCTCACAATCAGATATTTGTCCATAGCCTTGCGCATGATCATTAGTTCGCGCACTTTCGCACCGCTACGGCCTTTACGCGCTTCATCAAATCTGCATTTTTTCATTTGTCCTTCAAATAAAACTTTGCAGATGATGATGAAGAGTATTCGGGGCAGAGGGAGGATGATGATGGAAAGACAGGTGGCAATTTCGAGTTTCACTTTGATGCAGCGCATTGAATAAGATGCCTATTTAGACGATGAAATTACAAAGAGACCACGTGGATGTCCACCATGTCCAAAACCTGATTATGGTGCGATCAGAAAGTTAATTTGCACATGGTGAAGTAAATGAATTGTGTGGATGCGAAGAAATAAATATTATCGTGCACTCTTAGATCTCATAGGAACATATATATGGAAACTAACAAGAGAAAACCGTGTAAAGCAATCAAACTGCACTGTAAACATCTTTGTCCATACAGAAATCTATGATCGCAGTATGGTAAGCGACAAGCTATTCACAGGTATACTCGGCGTATCAATTGCAAAGTCGGGTGCACCAACATCTTTGCCGCTACTGCGTGAACGCCCCGCCTAGACTTTACACCTCCTTTGCGAACGTGCTCTCATGTCACTTTCTCACTACAAGCGTGAGAAACACGGGACATAAATCGCTAATTAAATATGCGGAGATGGTTAGGGAGCATTTTCGCGAAAGAGACGCAGAGCCAGGCGAGGCGGCCACGCGGGAGCGGAAATGCTCGTGCAGCTCGACTCCGCAAATGATAAGCCCTGTATGTATTTTGGAGGTAAAATATACTAGTTTGAAGGCAGCGTCTCGTCAAAATGATGGGGCCGGGATCTTACAGTGTTGCATTGATAGACCTTCCAGTCAGCCTATCAGTGAAGTCTGCAGCAAAAAACGCTTTGGGACCCTGCCCACTTCTTACAGTTCCAGCATAGCTTCAAAAAAGCTCTTTTTGCCGTTTTCGGGGGCTAAAAAGCTCAGATACGGCTTCAGCATAGCGAGAAGGCTCCGAAGAGGTAAAAAACCGAAGAGCGAAATTTTGCCGGGACACTGCCTTTAAAGGCAGCATCCAGACAAATCTGGACATATAGGGTTCTCACGTAGATAGTAGTTTTGGGGCTCTAACTGAGCCACTGCCCACCGGCAACTTAGCTAGTGCTTAACGGCTGAGATATTCCCCTCGAAACTGGACCCCAGGATCGTTTTCGCATGGATTCATGGCGCAACCCATCAGTACGTCCTCGCGCGAAAGCATGCAAACACGGTGCAAGTCGCCCGATAATGCGATCCTGGGGTTCAGTTTGGAGGCGTATATCTCAGCCGTTAGCGAGTCATTTGCGCTGCCGCTTGGGCCGTGCCCTAGTTAGAGCCCCAAAATTACTTTCCACGTAAAATCTCCATAGGTGCAGATGCAAGGTACGGCTCAATGCCATTTGAGCATCAGATCCTTGGTGACTCCTCGTACAGCAGGTCGCTGATATAGGTATAATATCTCACTTAGCACCTCTACGGCATAGAAAATTCGTCGGAAGAAAAAAGCAAGAATAAAAGAAAGTGCCCTGAACGCGACTGAAATGATGGTGCTCTTCAGTATCGGCAAATAATCATTTGCGCGCATTACGGGCCGGGCATACTTCATGCGATTTGGCAGTATTCCAAGTGTTTGTAACTCACTGTAAGCCCATTTCAAATGTACAGAAGATGACCATTTTATCAATCCACGTAAGTTATACGCACTATGCATGACCAGTTTGCTATTGTTAGATCTGAGAACTTTTGGCGAATTGCCAAATCGCGTCGCGACGTAATGGCGTAAAGTATGCCCAGCCCTTTATTTGTGCACTGACTTGGCACATCCCAATTAGTTTTACTTGAGGATCTAAGGTTCTAGGATCCCACAAATCATGCACTCTTCGGTGAGTAACGCTACGTTGACTATTTCCTTTATGTACTAGGACGTGTGGAAGATAAAACTGACATGCCCTTAACTTCCTTGGGACTCTCATTGTCATGTTAATTACTAAGCACAAACGTTCTGAAATCTGTCAGGTCATTACCTTTGATAAGCCCCAAGGCTAGCTTTCTTTGCGTCACGTATACGTGCACATGTGGTATGGAAAATGAGCAGGACAGAAAAAAAACAAGGGCGAGTTGAGTGTTAGTGGCAAACTCCGCTCCTTCGGCTGTCTCTTCTATGTGCACAAATTAACACCACGATACGAGTGTACATCTGCACTGCACTTCTGTAGTCACGTTAAAACACATGTTATAACAATTTAAGCTTGAAATGCATAAACTTTGTCAAAATCCGAACAGGCTGCTAAGCTCTTATATACAGGGTATCCGTAAAGTATGTATACACTGTTTGATTGTAAATATCTTTCTTTCCAACAAGTCTGTCTTTTGCCTTGCTTCAGGTACCTTTTTGTAGAGCTGGCCTCAACTTAGATTTGCAGTATGGAATGAATCACTCATCTCTCTTCATTACTGTAGGACTACGGTAGAAACTTCAAAGAGGGTTTTGAGCCATGAAAGGCCATATTTTGTTCCAAAAAGAAACAAAACAACCTGAAAACTCTCACACTGGGCCAACTAGAGTTGCTGATTCTAAATGTGAAGTTCGCAACTTTTCGTAATGCTTCATTAAAAAGTTATGCGAGATAAGCGTAGCGGCTATTTTCTCAATGTTCCTAAAAAGTGCGGTTACACCGCTTAGAAAGCTTCGCAATCTTGTGAATAGTTAAGTATTGAACTCAACCCTATTACACAAGTTTTCACCTTTTTTGAAAATTTTTGAGACGGCAGCTTTTTCTACATTGACACCATAGTTTCAAATTCCTACCGTACTACTCCTACAGTAATGAAGAGCGATCGATAATTCGCTCCATACCGTAAATCTAAGTTGAGGCCAGCTCTACAAAAGGGCACTTGAAGCGAGGCAAAAGACTTGTTGGGAAGAAAGGTATTAACGTATATAGTCGCCCTCACCCCACTAGTCGGTCGGTGGACGAATTCAAATTTGAATTGAAGCAGGTGTGCCACGGCAAAGCGCGGCAGGAGACAACGCTCAGCAATTACAAAAACTCAATATAGATCAAAAACGTTGTAACAATACAAAAACTGTTAAGCAATGGCGAAGAAATACGCAAATTGAATGCGTGCATTTGAACGGAGAGCTAAGGTGCCGTGCTCTGCCGCAACCTGCCTGCTCCATTTCGAATTCAAATTCGTCCACCGACCGACTAGTGGGGTGAGGACGACTATAGTAAACAGTGCATACATACTTTACGGACACCCTGCATAACGCTGAATATCTCTTTGTCTGTTTGTATGTCTGTGTGTACGTATGTTCCGAACAAAATTTTTATTTCTGACCCAAACCAGACTAAACTTGGCACAGATGCACTTTTGGGAGGGAGGGGGGGGGAGGGTGTCATAGGCTACTTTTCGTCATCGGTCGACATCGATTTTATCGATTTTTTAACAATTTTTTTGCAAAGTTTGAGCTACGGGGCTGGGAGTTGGCGGGGGGGGGTGTAATCGAAGCTGGTTACGAATACAATATTAGTTTTCAGAATTATCTGCTACTTTTACCGATTTTATCGATTTTTTGCAAAGTTTTAGCTTCAGGGCTAGGAGTTGGCACAGGGAGGTAATCGAGCATGCTGATTACAAATATTATGCAATACTAGTTTTCAGAGTTATGGATAAGTTTCATCGATTTTATCGATTTTTTGCAAAGTACGAGCTACGGGGCTGCGATTTAGCACAGAGGGTAATTGGGCATGCTGATTTCGAAGACAAACGGGGGACAGGGAATTGATATTAGGGATAGAACCCTCATCATAGACGTTTTGCCAAGGCCCGGCGAAGCTTGGTATGCCAGCTAGTATGAAATAAATTTCCAAAAGTCCCCAATTTCCCTCAATTTAGAGACTTGCACATTTCCACTCTCTCCTTTTCGAGTCACTTCAAGTGAATTTGATTGACAAGGCCAAAGCTGACACCTGTGTGGGGGAGCTGAGCTCTCACCCTACACAGCGGGTGGTGCTCGCCACTGATGCCATTCACGTTCATTTGCTTTCATCGGTGGCCTTGTCAGCGGCGCAAAGCCATACGTCATCCAACCGAGTGCTGCTGAATTTACGTCTGCTAATTGCGAAAACGAATCTTTCGCTTGGAGGCTCTTTCTTTCCGCGCTTAAGAACGGCTTTTGATGGACGACTCAAGGACGACGCTGATTTGAATAATGGAATTGTGAGGTAGGCAGCAAGTGGATCAATTTCAACGGTCACGGCGGCGTCCAACCAAAATTTCGCCCTCCATGTTTCCAAAATGTGCAACTCATAGAAAATTGCGAATTGCGGGAACCCTATCTTGAGGGCGCGGACAACTTTCAATATATGGGCGGAGCTTGATAGGATCTGGGCGTGGCTTGCACTTTCACCATTCCAGGTTCATTATCTCCATTCAGATACTACATCAGAGGACCGAATCAACGCGGTTACCCCTCCCATGAGGCCTACATTCGGATCGGCATTAATCGAAGCGGTTAGAACGTATGATATGATGTTTACTGTACTTTGATGTAGTCATACAGAGACGCACTTCTCATGGCTACCATAAAACGCAAAGATTCGCCTATTAATCACGCCGTAGACACAATTCAATCACGAGTCACATGGTTATTTAGAGAGCTAAATAAAGCTTCACATTTTTTCAGTACCGTACCCCAAGACGCTAAGGTCCGCTCGCGGAGAGTACGGTAGTGGGCAAAGGCTTATTGATTTTCTACTAAAAATTGACCATAAGAGCTATCGCTCGATACTGATGGATGAAAAACAATCAATAAATTAAGTCGAATTGCTAAGTTAGAATGCTTCGACTGCTGCATATGCAAATATCTTTCACGTCGTCTTTCGTACAGTTATTAATTAAAATATGCAGAAAAAAATCGATAAATTGATTAGATCATACCTTTTGTGTGTCTTTGAGGTAGACAAGTAGCAAACCATGATCGCAGCTTGCATTACCCAATTTCGCATCTGCATACTCTCGTTGCATATCAGCTTTTAGGTCATCTGTCTGAAAATGAAAGATGAACTGCTTGGAAAAAATTCGATTTGGAACACCAGCACATCTATTCATACATTAATGATGATCACCGCTGAAAGCGAGAACTGGTCCCCCGCACTCATTTGCTTACGTTTTTGACTATCAAGGAAACATTTGAGTAAACTCCATGCCTCAATAGCTTCTATTGCCCCACAAAATTACATGGTATTTAATGACGAGAACTGGTCCCCGTCCTTCCTAGGACTCACGTTTTTGCTGCTAGTTACGTGAAGTAATCCGATAAACTCATCTCGTCCGTTATCTCGGCGACATCCATCTATGCATTCGCATCTGCAAAGATAAGGGATCAATAAAAAAACACTCATCAAACTCAAGCTAAAATCTTGATGAACAGCCTTGGAGACGGATATTTTTGGCCTAAATACCGGAGTAAACTGGCCCTCACGTGCGTAATCTACCAATTTATTTCCTTACATCAACAAAATTACGTTGTTATGAGTAATTGTATCCTAAAATGACATGAAATCTAGAGCTACTTTTTGATTACGGAGCTGGAAAACACACGAAAACTGGTCCCCACTTGGACTAACTCCCTTAATGCATGCCTTTGAGCAGTTAAAGGTTTCTGCTTATCGGATTATGAGTCAGCAAGATGTCAGGATGGATTTAAAAATTAGCGAGAACTGGTCTCCAACTCACCCTACTCGCGACTGTAGCCTCCACAGCATGTCGGTTAGTTTGGACGTTGTCGTATTGGCCAACCGATGAGTTGGATCGCATACCAGTGTGGAGTTGCCATAGTCCAAGTCATTATGGCACGTCTCGTATTCGTCCCAGTAGACCGATGCGTAGACCTGAAATCAACTCGATAGAGAGGTAGCTTGACAAAATATAGAATGGGTGAGGGGGAAGGAAGAAGAGTGAATTGAATGACTCAGATGATTGTTTGCACAGGCAGAGAGGGCATACGGAAAAGTATGAACAGATCTCTAGTAAAAATTATATATTACGATGCAGATTGCATGCGCCTGCTGAAAAGCGAGAACTGGTCGCCTAGTAAAGTTTAGCTTTGTGGCCATAATGCCTTATAATAGCAGAGGCAATATGTTAGACAATATCGAAGAAGTTATCTTATTACACATGCCTCACAAACGGTACACAAATAGGATTGATCCTAAACGAGAACTGGTCCCCAGATAAAATGTTTGATTTTTCTGATAGCCTTCAGTGACAGTATGGTCAAAAGCATCCGAAGAAATTAATTCAACCTACATGTATCACGAAATTTGAACATATAGCGTTGATGCTAACGAGAACTGGTCCCCTAACAAAATGTCTGGCTTTTTGACTACATTGCCTTATAATGGCAACGACAGTATGGAAGAAAGTAGCTGAAGGGATTGTGTCGGACATGTCTGATACCAGGATGCACAGAGAGCGTTTCAAACGAGAACTGGTCCCCGTAACAAGATATTTAGATTTTTGACTGCTGTGCCTTATAATGGCAAGGTGAGCACAGTCGAGAGTTCTGAATGAATTTCTCACACAAGCTTGAACAGCTTGATCCTCGATCAACGAGAACTGGTCCTCGTAGCAAAATGCGCTCGATATAATGCTTTAAAATGTCAAAGACAGTATGGTGAAGGTTTTGAAGAATCATATTACACATGTCTAACACAAGTGTGCATAGACAACGTTGATCCTAAAAGAGAACTGGTCCCCTCAACTGAAGATTCAATATATCTACTTTTTTACCCTTCTTTGTCTCTCTAAATTACCAAACAAGTAGTGTAAGGACATCAGATAGCGATGTCCCGCGCAAATGCTATGCAGTATCGACGCGATCTTTTCATTGACTCACCATCTATGTGCCAACACATTTACGACTCATCGCGCAGGTGGCGTCAACTAACTGGTTCACTGCGATCGTAAATTCGCTCCGAGAAAGTTCTCAAAAGGTTTTTGGTTCTTCCAACCTCTACAAAAACTGAATTTTGCGTCCCCTCATTAGCCTCACGATCAGCGAGTGCAGTGACAATGACAATGACAAAACCAGCGCCACATGGCATTGATAGTGACAATGGCATTCAAGACTGTATAGTGCGGTTGTGTTGTGACCGACATTAAACAGGTTCCGCGCTTCGGAACAATGAAATGCCTTTACGTCAAGTGTTCGTATGACTGCCATCGAGTGGCGAAAGCTTTGTTGCATATAATAGAAAACTTATGACTGAAGGTCTTTGTGATTCTGGGACAGAGATCAACACCCTATTAGTTGTGCATTCAAAAACAACAACGAAATGCTTGATTTTCAAAGATATCAAATAAGGAATGTGCGAGTTTCAAATGTTCAGTCGTAAATGACAACAATTCAAAGTCTTGCGGAAGTACTGATATGTCAAAGTGCTGCGGAACCGCCCGAATTTTTAGGAAGTTCCGCAGCGCTTTGTAAATAGTCCTGCGGATGTTCCCGTTTTCAAGCAGTTTGACGTGAAAATTCTGTGGAAGTTCCCATTTTCAACGTAAAATAAATTCCGGCGGAATAGCTGCAAATTTTGCTTATCCTGCGGAGATTTCGGTAAATTGTCTGAGAGGAGTGAGCAGACCCTATTCCTAGGGCCTTTTAAGGCGCATACAATAAGAAAACCAAAAAATTTCGAAGTAGTTTGTGTATAAAAAAATCTATTTTGTAAACTAGGTACCAATTTCGAGGACATAGATTTTCTTGAAGGCTGACTCCATGGTTTCATAATTAAAAAGCATGCTAAAAAAACAATCAAACTATGGTAGCGCTGGCTCAGTCCGGACCAGTTCTCGTATGACAAGGGAAGTACTATCAATGGCCGTGGCCTTTTGATATGAGATGCATATCATCTGAAGCAGCTTCGAACGCTGATTTTAAATCTGCTTTTCGTTTCTGCGGAACGCTCTTCTGGAGAGAGTTATGAAAGCCTGAACATTCTATTTTGTGGGCGCTTCTTGATTTTGAGGGCGCTGCTATGTGCATTGGTGGTGCAGTAATGTAGTGGTTAATTGCTGACATTGAAGGCGAAAGGCTAATGGTTCGAATCCGGTGGAGAGCGAACTATTTTGCTTATTGAATGTGAGTTTGAAAGCACTCTAAATCGCTTGCAGACATTTACTGTAATGTCTTTGGCAACAGTGACCTAGAAAAAGAATTTTCTGGCAAAACTGCTTGTAATGAGAGCCTGAAATTTTATTTGACTTCCTCACTAGAAAACAGGACCGAACATGGCGTAGCACGTTTGTCACCATATAAAGCTCAAAAAATGCACACTGTCATTAGTCGAAAAGATGTTCTCTCCTGTTTGTGCTAAGGCATTACAGTAAGTGTCCGCAGGCGATTTAGAGTGCTTTCAAACTCACATTCAATAAGCAAAATAGTTCGCTCTCCATCGGATTTAAACCATCAACCTCTCGCATTCAATGTCAGCAATTACCCATTACACTACTGCGCCACCAACGCACATCGCAACGCCCTCAAACTCAAGGAGCGCCCCCAAAACAGGATGTTCAGGCTTCCATAACTTTCTTCAGAAGAGCATTCCGCAGAAACGGAAAGCAGATTTGAAATCAGCGTTCGAAGCTGCTTCAGATGGTATGTATATCATATCAAACAGCCACGGCCATTGGAAGTACTTCCCTTGTGAGTATACCAAAAGTGTTAAATGTATGCAATAATATGATGAATGAAGAAAACTATATAAATGTTTCACAGGGAAATTAAATTAATTTGACAACTTTTCGACTCATTTTTTTGAATAAATTTGAAATTTCTGAACAAAATTCTATAACATTTTGCGTATTATTGTGAATGTAGCATGTTTAACTATGCTTTCAGCCTTAGAAGCATTTTCTGGGGCTTCCCTTCTAAATACCACAAATCTGCCAATGATAATTCTTTTCCGATAAAAAAGGCCATCAAAAGCGTGAAAACTGTTCCGTAAATCTATTGACTAGTTTCCTGCATATAAATGGTAGATATATGGCTGCGCATGCTATTACGTCCAGACCATCACTTAAAACACCATCTCCGGATTGAATTTTTTCAAAATTCGAACTTTCATATCATTTGACGGGAGATAAATAGACTATGGCCTAGAAGTTATGAACTACCCTTGATTCAACGGGCTTGGCGCCTGGAAGGCGGCGCTTCGTGACCTAATTAAGGCTAGATAATGATCAGAGAGCACGCGCGCGAGAGAGACGCAGAGCAAACAACAAAGAGAAAAATTTTAGACAAAGGGGAAGATAACCTTCCTTCTTGCGTAAAAACAAAGAATTTCATAGAGTTTGGACTCAAAATAGTCGTTCCAAGTAATCGACAAAAGCGCCCCTCCTTCCCCCCCCCCCTCCTTTTCCCCTTCACTGATACTACTGGACTTTATGTGCTTTACATCAGATTATAATAAGATACGTTTTTGTTATTACGCCGATAGCTACAGGCTCATACAAGTGACATTCCGACGCAATACGTATTATCGTCATAGTGTAACACTTGTAATGCAAGTTGGTCCCATAACGAACGCTCGGAAATGTGGTTGTTACAATTCGATGTAGTGTATAGTGTAATTTTATGCTCTGGGATCATGGCGTTAGAAGTGCCAAATTGGGAGAATGAAAGAGGGAAAAGGAAAGTGAGAAGGAAGGAGAGGAGAAGCCATTTATCTAACGGCACTATTTGCAAAAGTGTTCGCTCGGGACCCGCGCATTCCCGCTATCTGGTCTTTTTTGAATTGGCGTTACGATTTTCTATAAGAGATTCAGGTCTCATTGATCCCTAGATGTTGAATGTCAGAATCTTTCTTACCCAAGTAGGGGGGGGGGGGAGAGACGGAGAAAGGATTTGAGAAAAACCAACGGATTGGGATGAAAAAAAAGAAGATATGTGATGACCTTAGACAGAAAAGTATGAAAGTACGACGAAAGTGTAAAAGAGAAACTTGTAGCGGACACATAGGAGCAGGAAAAGAAGGAAGAATATGAAAAAGGAAAGATTGCTGATCTTAGCTAGAAACGAAAAAAGATAGAAGAAGTTCAAAAGAGAAAAAATTCGTTGAGTGCGAACAGACTGGAGGAAAGAGAGGAGGGAAAGTGATGAAAAATAAAAAACTCTAAACATTCGTAAAGGGGAGAAGGAGGGGGGAGGAAAAGAAGGAATAGGGAATAATCTGGTGTTGATAAGAACGTAAGTGTAATAGAAAGCTGATACATTGATGGAAAAATTTTATTAGCTTGGCACCAGTCCTCCCTACCCCCCCCCTCCCTCTCCCTGCCCCCGCCCGCTCTCCTCGTCCTCTTTCTGTCCCAGCCAGATTTTGTCTGAGTTTGATCTCTACGGTAGCTTAGCTATGGGTCAACCTTTAGCTCTAGGTCAGCCTTCGAAAAATTATTTCAAAAAACCCAATTTTAAGATATACTAGTTGCTACTACTTACCCGGCTCCGCCCGGCCCCGTCATTATTACATTCGTAATCAGCATGCTCGATTACCCCCCTGTGCCAACTCCCACCCCGTAGCTCAAATTTTGCAAAAAATCGATAAAATCGATATCGATCGATGACGAAAAGTAGCCTATGACACCCGCCGGGGCCCGAAGTGTATGTGTGCCGAGTTTGGTCCCGATCGGTTCAGAAATGGAATTTTCTATTCGGAACATACGTACAGACAGACAGACATACAGACAGACAGACAGACAAACAGACATTCAGCTTTATATATAAGATGAAAGTCAAACAAACTAAAATAAATTCTTTCCACTTCATATCGTTGAACCCTGATCTTCTTGATTTTTTTCAGAAATTTTCACAGAATCCAAGTCTCCTTTTCTACTT